TCTCTCTTTCTCTCTTGCTCTTTTTGTCTGTGTGTCTCTTTCTATTTCTTTAGCCGTCTAGAATTTTCCAACTAAATCCTTCCCTGAAGCGCCTACAACCGACCCTGAAGCTTTTCTTTCCTTTATCAGATTCTTGCATGTAGCAGCTTCAAACAGCCATAACTCCGCCCCCTACCGGTTTCCAAACTTCATATTCCTTTTTAGTTCGAATAGATAACCCCAGGGGATCGGGCAAAGGGTCAATGTCTGAAGCTACTATCAGCAACCAGTCCGTAAAAAAGCCGATCAGTGAAATCTAAGTGACTTGCTTCAACCTTGTTCGTCGTTAGCCAATCTAGGGTCTTTCTTTTTGCCGACCCGGATCATCTTCTCATGGAGTTATGTCCCCTTGGGCAATAAAGTGTGAATGAGTTAAAATGGCGCCGGCGGCTATGAAAGACCAGACGACACTGCGTCGTGTTTTCCGTTGTAGACTCCAGTTCGCGTCGTTATTTCTGTGAAGGGAAATTGGAGACAACGGCGTTGTCGACGATGTTTTTACTGACTTGATTTCTTTAGTGACTGAAACGAGAGACTGGAAGAAGAAAGATAATGGGAGAGGTAAAGTCGGGAAAAGAAGAGATGTAAAGGGAGCAGCAAATAAGGTTTTTCTCATTGAAAGAAGAAGATGAATGGGAAGAGAAAGAAGAAGAAAAAATAAGAAAGAGAGAGAGAGGAAGTTAGGAAAGTTTAAAAAATACAAGAAAAATGAAGAAAGAAGAAAAAGAAAGAAAGAAAAAAGTAAAAATAAATAACTTGTTAAAAAAACGAAAGTAAATTTAATTGGATACTGGAGAAAGAAAGAAAGAAAGAAAGAAAGAAAGAAAGAAAGAACGAATGAAAGAAAGATAAAAGAAAGAAAGAATGAACGAATGAAAGAAAGAAAAAAGAAAGAAAGAAAGAACGAAAGAAAGAAAGAAAGAAAGAAAGAAAGAAAGAAAGAAAGAAAGAAAGAAAAATAAGATTATAAAAATGAAAAAGAATAAGTTAAATAACTAAGAAAATCGGAAGTAAAAGAAATTGAAAGTTGGAGAAAGAAAGAAAAAAGAAAGAAAGAATAAATGAAATGACAGTGGAGAAAGGGAGAAAGAAAGATAGAGCGAAATAAATCCCCATCTTTTTGTTGTTCTCAGTTACTATATATAAGAAGATATGTTATTTTCTATCAGGATTTCTGGGATGAGATCTTTATTCACCTTATTTTCATTTGAACTAATATCCTCATCTTTGTTGTTGCTATCAATTATTATATAACAAGATATGTTATATGCCGTGATGAGGAGTCATAATCATTCCCCTGATTTACTTGGAATTCAATCTCTGGATCGAAAAGTGCTGTCTTTGTAGAAAGGGTGAGCAGTGTGGAGTGAGAAGGATTAACACATGATGAAGCCTTTTGTCGGAGAGCATGAAAAAGAAGAAGAAGAAGAGGGAGGAGGAGAAGGAGGAGGAGAGAAAATGAAGAAGAAGAAAGAAGAAGAAGGAGGAGGAGGGGAAGAAGAAGATGAAAAGAAAAAATAATAAGAAGAAAGACAAGGAGCAGCAGGAGGAGGAGGATGAGGAGGCGGAGAACAAGAATGAGAAGGTGAAGAAGAAGAAGAAGAAGAAGAAGAAGAAGAAGAAGAAGAAGAAGAGGAAGAAAAAGAAGGAGGAGGAGGGCAGAAGAAGAAGAAGAAAAGAAAAAGAAGAAGAAAGAGAAGAAAGAGGAGGAGAAGGCGGAGGTGAAGAAGAAAAAGGAGGAGGAGGAGGCGGAGGCGGAGATGGAGAAGAAGAAGAAAAAGAAGAAGAAGGAGGAGGAGGAGGGGAGAAGAAGATGAAAAGAAAAAAGAAGAAGAAGAAAGAGAAGGAGCAGCAGGAGGAGGAGGATGAGGAGGCGGAGAACAAGAAGAAGAAGAAGAAGAAGGAGGGGGAGGAAGAGGGGGAAGAAGAAGAAAAGAAAAGAAGAAGAAAGAGAAGAAGGAGGAGGCGAGGGAGGACAAGAAGAAGAAGAGGAAGAAGAAGAAGAAGAAGGAAGAGGTGGAGGAGGAGAGAAGAAGAAAAAGAAGAAGAGGAAGAAGAAAAGAAAAAGAAAGAGGAGGAGAACAAGAATGAGAAGGTGGAGAAGAAGAAGAAGAAGAAGAAGAAGAAGAAGAAGAAGAAGAAGAAGGAGTAGGAGTAGGAGGTGAAGGAGGAGAGGAGGAGGAGAAGAAGAAGATGATGAAGAAAAAAGATAATAATAATAATAATAATAATAATAAAAACAACAATTTGGCACCTAGGTCTGGTAATTTCGTCTCTTCTTTCAATCTTGCAGCCGCGTAATGTCTCGGTTTCAGTCACTTTCACACCGCCGTAATGTGGCTACCCTGTGTCTTTTCTATAAATACTTTCATGGTATTTGTTTTAATGAACTTCCTTCCATTGTAGCTAGACTCAATTTTCACTTTAAGCGGACTATTATTTTGGCGGCAAAATCTCATCATTTTACAGCTGAGATGGCTAACCGTAAGTTCTATTCTAGTTGTTTCATTTTCTTGTGCTTCTCACTTGGGGAATTCTTTTCTGACATCTCGCAGTCAAGTGTGATCTTCAAAAATTTAAATGCAATATCAGTCGTCTTCTTGATTCCTTTTCCTTTCCTTTTCTTGCTCCCTAAATATGTTTTCTTTTTCTTATTATTTCACACATAATAATCCCTTGTGTCTTAGTGGGATTAATGCCTGACTTGTGTTGAAATGTCGACGGTAGGACTGGAAGTGTCGACGGTCGGGCTGCACGTGTCGACGGTTGGGAATTTGATGTGTGGACAGACTGGACGTGTCGACGGTCGGGCTGGACGTGTCAATACCGGGAAGTTGATGTATGGTCGGACTGGACTGTCGACGGTCGGGCTGCACGTGTCGACGGTTGGGAATTTGATGTGTGGACAGACTGGACGTGTCGACGGTCGGGCTGGACGTGTCAATACCGGGAAGTTGATGTGTTGTCTGACTGGACTGTCGACGGTCGGGCTGGACGCGTTGACGGTCGGGAATTTGATGTGTGGTCGGACTAGACGTGTCGACGGTCGGGAATTTGATGTGTAGTCGGACTAGACGTGTCGACGGTCGGGCTGGACGCGTCGACGCCGGGAAGTTGATGTGTGGTCGGACTGGACGTGTCAACGGTCGGGCTGGACGTGTCGACGGTCGGGAATTTGATGTGTGGTCTGACTGGACTGTCGACGGTCGGGCTGGACGCGTCGACGGTCGGGCTGGACGCGTCGACGGTCGGGAATTTGATGTGGTCGGACTAGACGTGTCGACGGTCGGAATTTGATGTGTGGTCTGACTGCACTGTCGACGGTCGGGCTGGACGCGTCGACGGTCGGGAATTTGATGTGGTCGGACTAGACGTGTCGACGGTCGTGAATTTGATGTGTGGTCTGACAGCACTGTCGACGGTCGGGCTGGACGCGTCGACGGTCGGGATTTTGATGTGCGGTCGGACTAGACGTGTCGACGGTCGGGAATTTGATGTGTGGTCTGATTGCACTGTCGACGGTCGGACTGGACGCGTCGACGGTCGGGAATTTGGTGTGTGGTCGGACTAGACGTGTCGACGGTTGGGAATTTGATGTGTGGTCGGACTAGACGTGTCGACGTTCGGGAATTTGATGTGTGGTCGGACTAGACGTGTCGACGGTCGGGCTGGACGTGTCGACGCCGGGAAGTTGATGTGTGGTCGGACTGGATGTGTCGACGGTTGGGCTGCACGTGTCGACACCCAGGAATTTGATGTGTGGTCCGACTGGACATGTCGACGGTCGGGCGGCACGTGTCGACGGTTGGGAATTTGATGTGTGGTCGGACTGGACGTGTCGACGGTTGGGTTGCACGTGTCGACAGTCGGGAATTTGATGTGTGGTCCGACTGGACGTGTCGACGGTCGGGAATTTGATGTGAGGTCGGACTGGACGTGTCGACGACGGGAAGCTGATGTGCGCTCGGACTGGACTACACGCTTAGGCGATCAAGTATCTTTCGATAAATGACTGACGAGACAAATTTTTTCCCGCAGTAGGTTGCCATTTCTTACTGCGGTAGACCAGTTGCCATCCAAGTCTATAGAACCCTGTCTATCTCCGATTCCTCAAGCTGCTATCCATTACTCCACCGTCTAATGTTTAATAATTTTACAGGGCTGAATTTGCTTAATTTTTTTTTTATTATTATTACGGATTAAGAATTAAAATACTAAGTATTAATTATTAAATAATTATTATTCATTATTGTATTTTTATTTATTATTTTAATTGATTATTTTATTATTTTAATTCTTTATTTATTATATTATTAATGATTAATGTATTATGTGTTACATTATTAAAAGGAATGAGATCAGCGCTCTGAAAATGCCTTGGTATTTACAAATCCCTTTGTGAACTTTTCTGATTTTACAAGGCATTTATTTTTCCTACGCTAACATTTTCTCTGAAAAAGACACCCACTAATCTCCTACTATTTCCCTCTTTCTCTTTTCTCTTTTCTTTCTCTTCACTTTGTTTTACACACTCTCTCTCTCTCATTCTTCTCCACTTTTTTTATCTCTCTTTCTTCAACCCTTCTATTTCTCTTTCTCTTTCTCTACCCTTTCCATATCTCTCTCTTTCTCCTCCGTTACTATTTCTCACACTGTCTTTCTCCTCCCCTTCTTTTTTATTCTCCTCGCCTTCTATTTCTCCTCTCTCTCTCTCTCTCACGCACAAAGAAAGAGTAGCTAAGAATAAGTAAAAAGATTCTCTCTCTCTCTCTCTTTCACGCACAAGGAAAGAGTAGTTAAGAATAAGAAAAAAGATTGCTAGGGAGATCGAAAAAGGGAGATTGTCATTTGACGACATTACGTCAGCACCAACCTTTTATAGTCGAAAGCATTTTGGTTGGCTCTATTGTAAATATTGGTATATTTTTCTTTCGATTACACAAATGGTATTAAGCTAGTTTCCGCCGGAAGTACATAGCACCAATTTCGTGCCAAATTAAACACGATCAACACAAAAGAGGAAAAGGCAAAGCTACAGTTTTAAAAGAAAGAGTGCAAAATCAACAGTGATTTATATCAATCTATCTATCTATCTATCTATCTATCTATCTATCTATCTATCTATCTATCTATCTATCTTCGTATTTGTCTATCTATCTATATTAGCAAATGTATATCTCGCTCAGTCTGTTAATGCCTATTTGGATTTTATAGTTTGTTCACCTTTATTTCTGTCTCTCTCTAGTTTAACATCTATCTATCTATCTATCTATCTATCTATCTATCTATCTATCTTAATCCTTTTGCATCTATCTATCTATCTATCTATCTATCTATCTATCTATCTATCTCGGTCTTTTCATATCTAACAATCTATCTGTTTTTAGGATATGCATAACTCTCTGTTAGTATTTGTCTATTGTAGTTTGTTCATCATTCTATCTATATATACGTAGTTTAATCTATCTCGCTCTGTTTAAATCTATCTATCTATCTATCTATCTATCTATCTATCTATCTATCTATCTATCTATCTATCTCAGTATATTCATTATCTCTCTCTCTCTCTCGCTATCTATCTATCCATCTATGTTTATGAGCATCACTTTTCAGTCTTGATAAAATCAATTAACGTTTACATGGCCTTGTGCGTGATGAATTATTTTCCTCTGTACAATCGTTTTTTCCACAGAGAGAACGTATGGAATATATAAAATCTTTACACACACACACACACATATATATATATATATATATATATATATATATATATATATATATATATATATATATATATAGATAGATATATATTTAGGAATTGGATTAAATCCGATACATTGTTATTTTTAATTTATTTTGTTCAAACGTTATTTTTGATGGATATTCATATTCAAGTAGATACTCTTTTTTTTTTTTTTTTTTTTTAATTAAACAGTGTTTTTTTTTTAATCCAACTATATCTATGTTCGAGAAATCTTGTCCGAAAAATCAGAGAACGATTTCTAGTATATTCAGCCCGGTAGATGCGTTAAAAAAAACAGAGCTTCTACTCCAATATGAGTACCCATAAAAAATAAAGTTTCAAGATAATAAATTAAGAATAACAACCCGAAATTTCGTTTTTAAATAACCCAACGGTTGATAATCCATAAAAATCAAATTGATCAATCAGGAACCAATCATAATACATTTCTACAATAAAATACGTGTCAAACTCATTCCTGTATCATTCCCTTTGTTCAACAATATCTATCTGTCTCTCTCTCTCTCTATATATATATATATATATATATAGATAGATAGATAGATAGATAGATAGATAGATAATATTAGTGGAAAATATACATACATATGCAAAATATATAAATACCCATACATGTATATTTTTTGAATAAAAATTCCAAGAGGAATAATCCAGGTAGAACTCAATGTCCAGGACAGAGTAAGGATATAATAAAAAGGCTTACACACATACAGGAGTGATGTATACGGAATAAATTCCAATAACTAAAAAATGCTCTTCTTAAAAGAGTGTTCAATACAGAATAGAGCAAATATAATTTATTCGAAAATCGCTTTTTCCATGTTTATATATACAAATGTCTACGTATTTGTGTATTATAATCTAATTGTGTATATATTGCATTTTGCAAGATTTCATCCACCTCTGCCCATATAACCACTGCAATTATATCTTAGTTGTAACGAAGCTTAGAGCAACATTAGATTTTAACGTTTATTCTAACTGAATTTTTAGCTTTTTAATAAAAACAAAACGAATAACAAAACATACGTATTTTTACTCAGTTTCTTCTTTAAATAATTTTATCATTTTAAACTTAATATAGATTAAATTTAAAATTTAAAATTGGTAATTTTTAATTTTCAATTTTAAAGTAAAATTTAATATTAATTAAAATGATTTCTATTTTAGTCTAACCCTAACATAAAAAAGCATTAATTATTATAAGCAAGGTTCGTTGTCAAGTTTTTTGAATTCTTGTATTTTGATTTTCATGATTGGCTTTATTGATTTTCCCCTTGCAAGTATGGTTAAAACATTCTATGAATCTTTTTTATAAACCCTTTATTCTACATTCAACAACAATCACTTCATAAAACACCAATGGATTTAAACAAAATCTATAACACGAAAGTGATTTTATAACATATTTACACTATAATTTGCTATTTACTTAAATGGTGAATATATATATATATATATATATATATATATATATATATATATATATATATGATGAAATGGACTAAGTCCGACGATTGTTTTTAAGACATTTTTATGTTTATACAGCGTATTTTTATAAATATATATGAATATCCGAGAAATTCAATTAGAAAATATTCGCCCTCCAACAGGAATCGAAACTGTATCCTATAGGAGACATAATTATAGCCTGACTATACTTTAATAATTTCCACTGAATGATGAGATTCGGTTAGAAATGGATCGATTTTTTTTTTTTTCTTTAAGCTACAATCTTCAATGATTCCCTCACGTACATTCATCATCAGGTTGTCTTTTCTAAATTTAAATAAATGACTGGGAGACGAAATATATGAAATGGACAAAGTCCGACAATTATTTTAAAGACATTTTATATTTATTATAAACATATATATTTATTTAAATATTTGTATCTATAAAAAGAATGTATAAACAGAGAAAATGTCTTAAGAGATATATATATATATATATATATATATATATATATATATGTATGTGAAAATATATTTAAATTAGGAAGGAATTATTTAAATTTTTAATCCAAAGTGTTGTATTTTAGTTATTATTTTGGAAAAAATTTTGCTCGATTCTGTTATTTCTTAGGTTGAAAAAATTTATTAAGATGGTTCAAGCTTATTTTAACTCAATTTAATTTAAATAATTATATTCCAGTAACAGAGTTTTGTTGGGAAACATGAATCTGAAACGTATTATGCAGCGTTTTGAAAATCATATATTTAAATAAATAATCATATATATATATATATATATATATATATATATATACAAATCCTTTATCTACGTGTATTCGTATTTTAAAATCTCTTTTCTTGTTTAGACCTTTTTTAAAATCATTTCCCTATGCATTTCTATAGTAAAATTCTTTTCCTATACATTCTTATAAAAATAAAATTTATATGTCTTCCGTATAGAAAACATTCGATGAAACAATTTTATATTTAAAATCGCTTATAAATGCAAAACTGTCATTACAAACCCTTTTCCTATACATTGAAACGACATTTTAAAATTTGTTTAAATGCATTAAAATGCGAATAAAAGGGCCGCCGATAGCATGAAACGTTAAAACTGGCAGCCACCGGTGGGCTTTTAGCGGTCTGAAAGTGTTGATGTTTATGAGACAATACACGTATCATTTGAATATGACATAAACTCCAAAAAGCCAGGGATGTGGTTGATTGGTGGTTTTGCATACAAAATAAACCTTTTTTATTTTTGAAAATCACCCCAGTCATATGCGCTTAAGGAAAAACAAATGCGAAAAAATTAAATTTAAAATCTTATCCTCAATGATAAACAAAAGGATGAACAAAATGTGATTCGAAATTTAGAAAATTTTAATAAAAATATACACGGTTGACGAAAATTTACACAAGTTCCACTGCAATTTGAGAGACCACACCGCCAAACAAGTACTATATATATATATATATATAAATTCATACCATATTTATATATATATATATTTGTAAATATTTACAAAATGTGGCACAAGGTCAAACTAGGGAATTGAAAAGGACGGTTTTCATCTGTCTTGAACAAACGTTAACATCTGCTTATCCCAAACCAAAACATATTTGAGAATATTTCACATATTTCAATTAAATATATATATATATTTATTTATGAAAATTAAATAACATAAACATTGTTATAAAATCACGACAAAAAGCAATTTTTTAAAACCCAGCCCCAATGAGTATTTACAGTTGAAAACAAAACAAAGTAAGCGATATTTATTTGTTAATATTTACAAAATTTTGTACAAGGCCAAACTGGGGAATAAAAAAAAAAAATGTCTTCATCTGTCTTAACTTTAGACGTAGGTAGTCACAACCATGATATAAATATATACAATATTCCCAACATAAAACAACGCATTCTTATTTACCTTTCTTACTACACCCAGTAGATATAATTATTTAATTACCTCATTGTCTCCATTTTTTGTAGTAGTTTTATACAGAAAGATGTTATAAAAAAGATCATTTAATGATTTAAATAAAAATAGTTCAAGATTTTAAGAATGACAGTGAAAGAGAAAAAGAAATACACACACACACACATATATATATATGATGTCACATATTTATAATTTACCAAAAAATAATTGCAAAATGACATTTTTTATATTGTGGAAGTGGTGGGGGAGAATTTCGTCGAGAGTCGTTCAACATAGAAATGCGTATGTATAGATAGGAGAATACATACATGTGTTAGAGAGAGACAAATGTTTATAAATACAATGAGATAGACGGACGACCAAGTGAGACTGAGTGCAACTGCACATCGATGTTTTTTACGATAATGTAAAAACGAAAATTAATTCAAAAATGTATTTAAATTATCACACACACACACACACACACAAACACACACATACATGACAAAAATGTCAAAATTAAATGAAAGAGGTTAAATTCATAATTTGATATTTTGTAAAATATATAACAGATAAATTAATTCCAAATTAAAATCATCTAATTAGGCTAATTTTTTTAAAAAATTATTTAAAATTTAGCTACCAAGATAATTATACAGGGTTGCATCTTCCTTGAAAAGCTAACCTGATGAATATTTATGAGTGTTCAAACAAGACATATTTTGGGAGAAAAAATAAAAAAAGCATTTGCATTTGGAGAAAGAAAAGAAATACAGGGATGGAGAGCGTCAGCTGAGTTATGTTTTCCTTTTGTCTTTTTAAAATTGTATAAAAAAAAAGATATATTCTAGAAATGATTACTTGTATATACAATGAATTTCAAAAAGATTGAAGAAAGATTTGATAATTACTCAAAAAGTAAGGAGACTTAAAATAAGAAAAAAATTGAGAGAGGATGGTAAAAAAAAAGAGAGAGCATTAGAATTTCTATTACAATTTTTTATGACAAAAGAAAAGGAGAGAGAGATTAAATTCCGTATCTTATTTTTGGTATTCATTTAAAAAATTTACCAACGATTAGTTTGATGACCGATTCCATTCTTTTTTCAGAAAAAAAAAAGATTATTCAATTATTTTTTTACTTTTGATGTTAAGTCGATTTTTTGCTATATTTGGAAAAACTTTCAAACAAGAAATTCTAATATATATTTATATATATATATATATATATATATATATATATATATATATATATATAAACAGGTGTGTGTGTGTGTATATATATATATATATATATATACCTTTATCCATGAATAGCTTTGTTGTGTATTATTAGTTAAAAATATGGCACAATATGAACATTTGAAAATATGAAAACTGAAAATTTATAAATATAAAATATATATATAATATAAATAACTTATATATATAGAATTGTTTAATATATACAAGTACTGTTCGATAAAAGTTCTCATACATTTTTTTTTACTAAATGTTAAATATTATCCTTTTCGACAAAACGAAAGTTGAGCTAAATTCAAAGGATAAGCGATCTAAAATCTGAAGAAGCTTTGAAAGTTATTATATATTGAATTTAGAAATCATTGCAGTCAAGCATCCGTTCAGAATAATGTTCTGGGGATCCTGGCCGTTTTTATGGAACTGGTTTCTTAAGTCCCTATTGAAAATATTTTCAGGATCGAAGCTATAACAAAGAGAATTTTAGAGTCTGGTTAACAGTCTGCTGAAAGGGCACTTGGAATCAACAAGCTCATTTTTATGCAGTTTTAATACATTATTTTCAGAAAAGAAAATTTATGAAGGAATACTTTGATGAGAAGGTTGTAAAGTGTTATGAAGAGCGCCCCAATTCCTGAAAACCTTTAGAATAAAAGCCTCAATATTTGTAATTTATTCTGTGTGGTTATTGATAATTTTCCTGTTGAACTTTTTATATTATCAAATGTCATGTTCTCAAGATGCAAATGTAGCTGAATTTTTAAAAACTTTTTGTTGAATATTGAAAAAAAAAAAAAGGGTTAAAAAGTGTTTGAAAAATATTTTTCTTACGTTTGTTTTACGTTTTTATGTGCGGTGGGTTGAACCATTGATATTTCTTTCTTTGAGCAAAAAAGTTCAACAGGCAGAGAAATATGATTTGTTACGTACAGGAAAAAGAATCCACTATATTAAAGGGCTGTTTCAAACTTTAAACAAACACTTTGTTAAATATAGATTCATTACACAAATTATTCAATGAAAGCCTGCGGTTAATCGATTTTGGTATCTGTTCGAGAACATGGCACAAATAATAAAAAAGCACAACAGGAAAATTATCAACAAACGGCACGAACAAATTAAACCCACTTGCAACTGCAGAATAAAGAACGAATGTCCCTTAAACGGTAATTGTTTACAAAACAACGTAATATACCAAGCCATTATAAAATCACCAGTTAATGAAGAAAAAGTATTCATAGAAGGACCCTGGAAACAAAGAAATTATACACACAAAACATCTTTCACAAATAGTAAATATGCCAACAGCACAATGCTTTCTAAGTATATATGGGAAATTAAAAACAAAACGCACACCACACCAAAAATATCTTGGAAAATAAGGAAAAGATCATCAGCCTACAACAACCAATCAAAAACTTTCAAACTTTACTTGGAGGAAAAAATAGCTATCATTACTTTCCCAGACCAAAATAAATTATTAAATAAATGATCTGAGCTCATCTCAAAATGCAGACATGAAAACAAATTTTTACTACGTTACTTAAAAAATCGAAAACGGAAAAAAAATAAAATAAAACAAAAAATAAATAAATAAGCAAAATAAACAATAAAATAAGCAAAATAAATTAACCCAAACAAATTACCAAATCACACCTGTTAGAATAGACGAAATAGAATAAATGAATAAAAAAATAAAAAGCAAAATCAATGAACCTAGATAAACAAAGTAAATAATAAACATATTAACAAACCATTTATGGCCAAAATATTAGTTAGATTATAAAAATCAAACCAAAAATCGGAGGAAAAATATAGCTATAACTGTTATATAAGGATAAAAAACTACGTTACTTAAAAATCGAAAACCGAAAAGAGTAAATAAAAATATACAGTATAATAAATAAATAATAAAAAAACAAGTAAAATAAATTCATCCAAATAAATAAATAAACTAACAAACCTATAAATTAACCGTTTGAAAAAACAAATAAAGATAATGAATCCAAATAAATACATGAAGTAATAAACAAATTAAAAACTGTTCCCGCCAAAATAATAGTTAGAATAAACTACAACAATCAACTCCAAAATTGAATAAATAGCTTTAATTATCTTCCCAAAACCAAAACCAAAACAAAACTATTAAATAAGCGATATAAACAAATTTTTACTACGTTAATAAAAACTTCGATTAAAATTAAAAAAAATATTTAAGAAGATATAAAAATAAAAAATAAAAATAAAAAAAATAAATAATGACAAGCAAAATAATTTGACCTAAATAAATAAATAAACGAATAAAGGACTCCCGGTAAAATACCCGCCCAAATAAACTACCCACAATGCACCACTGACCCGTATATATAAATAGCAGTAAAAAATAGCAGCACTCCTGGCCTGACGATTGCGTCGAGCATGAAAGAGACTGTCGCCTCTAAGTGTTGACTTCTATGTTCACTTGTATATTTACATACGCTTTATCTCTGATATTGAGCACTTTATCCCATAAATATAGCACACCTTAAGACTATATTTTATATATATATATATATATATATATATATATATATATATATATAACTGGCACTTCACATCTCTATCTAAATCTATGAACAGAGCAGGAATGGGAGAGAGAGAAAGAGAGAGAGAGAGAGAGAGAGAGAGAGAGAGAGAGAGTGGAGCGTGGAAACGTATTTTCTTTTTTATTCCATAATCTTTCCTCTTTTAATTTCGCGGGTTTTTCGTTGAGTCCAACAATATCAGAACTCCAGGATTTTTTATCGCGACAATCACCTTGTGTAAAAAGATATCCGCAAATCATGGGTGCTGGTCATCAACAAAATTATTGTGCATAGGCCATAAAACAGGTGTTTCAGTTTGACATTACAAACAAGTAATGAAGTGATGTCTTCGATGGAAAGTTTTCTATATTCAGATCAGAATCAGTTTATATGCGAATAATAATAAGTCTTGGTGGTGGGTACTATTAATATTTCCGTGACATAAATAGTGAGTAATTTGTTTTTATATTGAAAACGTATTGCTTTCGTTTTCATTTATTCACGCCATTTATTTGCTTTTCTCTTTGTGCGTTTTCTTTTCTTTTCTTTCTTATTTCTCTATATTGTCTTTTTCTTCTTCCTCCCTTATTTTCTGTTTTCCTCTTCTACCCTCGTTTACTTTCTTTCTTCTTTTCTTTCTGCTCTTTCCTTTTATATTTCTTTGTAACTTTCTATCTTTTTTTATTTTCGTCTTTCTTTTTTCATTCACTCTTTCTTTTTTTCCTTTGTTCTCTTTTTCTTAATTCAGGCTATATTCTTTCTTTCTTTCTTGGTTTCGTTTTCTTCGTTTTTCCCTTTCTTGTTTCTTTTCACAAGTTTTTCTTTTGTTCTTTTTAATTTTAAATAACCGCTTTCTTTCTTTCTTTCTTTCTTTCTTATTTATTTTCTTTCTTTCTTATTTATTTTCTTTCTTTCTTTCTATCTTTCTTTCTTTCTTCTTTCGTTTTCTTCGTTTTTCCCTTTCTTGTTTCTTTTTACAAGTTTTTCTTTTGTTCTTTTTAATTTTAAATAACCGCTTTCTTTCTTTCTTATTTATTTTCTTTCTTTCTTATTTATTTTCTTTCTTTCTTTCTTTCTTTCTTTCTTTCTTTCTTTCTTTCTTTCTTTCTTTCAATGAAACCAAGTAGTAACTTTTCCCTTTTCGCGCGATCAAAACTGAATAATCCATTATTTATGAGGTATTGACAGACATTAAATGCTTGCATCTTTCTTTCTTTCTTTCTTTCTTTCTTTCTTTCTTTCTTTCTTTCTTTCTTTTATGTCTTTTTCTTTTATTCTTTTCTTAAACGAACCTCTTTTCTTTCTTTCTTTCTTTCTTTCTTTCTTTCTTTCTTTCTTTCTTTCTTTCTTTCTACTCTTTTTTATTTCTTCGTTTCTTACTCGCTTTCACTAAAACTAAGTAGTGACTTTTACACATTCCACGTGATCAAAATGGAATAGTCCATTATTTATGAGGTATTGTCAGGGTGTAACGGACTTGCGACCTAGCGAAGAAAAGAAGAAGCACAATTATTATTGTATTCATGTAATTAAAGTCTAACAAATGAATAAATAGTAATGAGCATCTTTGTTGTCATTTCTCTAGAAAAAAAAAGAAACAGTATAAATCTTGATGCATGCAAATGATTCTAGTGAATTTATGTGGCGAGAGCAAATGAAAGAAATGTCAGTTAAAGGCAATTTTTAAAATTTATAATTACAGGTAGTCGTTCTTATATTTATTTAAATTTTCTTTTTCTTTTGTTCACAGGCATTTTTATAAATTCATGTATAAATAATTAGTTTACATAGACATTTATTCATGATATGGTAGATAATAAACAATGTATTTTAACTGATTCACTGGTTTTTATAAATTTATAAATCTAAAATTATACTTTTAAATAAGCAATATTTAATATATTTGGGTTTTATTAAGATTCTAAAAAAGAACTTTTAAAACAATACAAATTGCCAAAACAGTCTCCCTTAATAGTGGTGTCAAGAGAGAAAAAACGCACCTTTGACACTTTGCCTAAAGTTTTTTGATTACACATCGCTTGGAACAAAAAGCAAACTATTTAAAATCAAAAAAAAGTAACCTTCGAAATTTTGTCTGTAATTAAGTCAGGTTATTGATGCTGAAAATAAATAAAACGAAAAAAAAATCGTCTGGTATCTGCCTTTCCTTAACCAAAAGCATACACAATTTGGACGAAAGAATAACAGGGTATGTTAACTGATGCTTCACGCCTTAAAGCGGAACTATTCAAAGAATAGCTGGTCTCTCCCGAAGAAAGAAAGAAATGAAACGAAAAAAAAAAAAAAAAAATGAAGAAAACAGCTTTATCCCAATCCGCTTGTTGTTGGCCGAAAAAGTCGTTTCCATTCAAAACCCGGAAGCTTTTACGACACAAACATCTGCTGCTATCGGTTTACGACATCATATTAGCCAGTGACCGAAAATTTTCAAACACACTGCAGCGGATGTCCCCCAGAAATATAGTTAGAACGTTTTCTTCATGTCTTCCATCTTCTTATTTTATTTTTGTCTTATAAAGTTCGTCTCATCTCTCCTACGTCGACGTTGAATGGGGCAATTATTGTTGAATGTTAAATCTGAATTCAAGGGAGATAACTTCCTTTGTATTCAGGTGTAGAACTGCTTGTGGAAATTGAAAGGCTGAGAAATCTAAAGGAAATAGCGAAGCAAGAAAAATTAGCTTATAGATTTATGCGAACATTAGCGCTAAACATGGCGGCGATAATAATTTATTTTGGCAGTCAATTGGGCCAAGAAAGTCAACATGCCTTGAAAATCAGCATTCGAAATTCAGGCTTTTGCCTCGAATTGAATGATGAGCATTTGAACAAACAGGAAAACGAAAATACGAAGTTGGCAATCATTTCCATAAGTCAAGATGAAAATGTGTTATAGAATAATCCCAATTTATCTCATCTTAATACAGTGTGTCCATAAAGTACGTGTGTACTTTAAAAAATTATAACTTTATTTGTATTTGCGATAGAAATAATCTGTAAAAAATGGTATAAATTTTAATGTACTTAGTTTAAGTATAGCTAAAATAACTAATGTGATTTCAGGCATTCAGTTGGCAAATGAACTGCAAAATCGTATAACCCTTTGTATTGCTAATGATGGAGGACATGTAGAAACTTAAATAAAATTTTAATAAAGCCTTATAAAATATAGATTTACTTCTTTCGAATCCTTTTTACAAATTATTTCTATCATAAATACAAATAAAGTTATAAATTTTTTAAAATGCACACGAACTTTATGGACACCCCTGACCAAATGCCCAAAGATATTCGTGCTTTGAATGCCATTATCCGAAAGTGAACACACACACGCATATATATATATATATATATATATATATATATATATATATATATATATATATATATATATATATATATATATATATATATATAAATTATGTAATAATAAAAATATATTTTCTGTGTATACGTTATTTATATATAATACTATCAGTAGAGCCTGGCGTTGCCCGGGGATATAACAGTAAGAGATAGATCAAGTATCGACCATCATAAAGACTGAAAAATAAAATTGACGAAGATTATTGTTTAAGGTTGACGGACACGCATATCTTAATTAGTTTTTTTTTTTTTTTTTAATTAAACCCAAATTCAAACAAAAACATTGTTTTCAATCGTTATGAGTCTATCGATTGGTGAATAGAATTTTATTATAAACAATTGTCTTGTAAATGCAATTTTTAAAGCATTCTGAATGTATAAATAAAGAAAAAAGTGTGCAAGACAATAAGAAGTACTACCTGCCAAAAAAAAAAAAAGTAGTGGATGTTTGTTTTATCGGCTGAAAAAAAAAATGTTCCAAATAAAAACACACACACACACACAACCTGGGTTTTTTAACCTAAGTCACCCACGAATCGCTAAAACATAGAGCATAGTCTTATGAAAAAGACGCCAAAGTTTATGAAAATAAAATTTTATCGTCAAAATGCTTATGTTCTTATGAAGAGGATAGACTAAATTTTTTTTTAATTATTTTTAAAAATTTTAACATCTTTTTAGAATATTCTAAATTTTGATTTAAAAACCTTGTTTCTCTTTGTCGCAAACAAAGGGGTAGTAAATATAATTTTAGCGCGTTTTTTTGTATTTACACACATTAATTTGGAAAATCTTGCAAAAATAAAAATAATTGTCACATGTTAATGAAACTTTCAGAAACTATTCACAGATGATCGAAATTATTATAAATATGTTTTTTTTTATTAAAGTCATGGCAGAAATATTTTTTTATATTTATTAACACCCCCATAACTAATTTTATGAAAAACTCTAGAAATTCGAGACCATCGGTTTTAGTGATTACAATAGTTAAATGCACAAGACTTTGAAGAATGCAAATCATGTTTTTTTTTTTTTTTTTTTTTTTTTGGCCAACGTCTGAAAATCAGCTGTGAATTGTAACATACAAAACTCAATAAAACAAATATATTATTTAGTTTCAAATGCTTTTATTTGTTTTAATTTGTTTTTATGAATATGGACGATATTTTCTGAAAGCAAAAAATTTTTTCTATGAAAATTGAATTTTTAATACAATTATTTCTTATTTCTTTAATTTTAAAAAGATTTAAAAAAAAATTTTAAATTGAATTTTTTAAAATATTTTAACATTAGTTAAAAGCAACATCAACCTTTCAAAATGTCCATGTGAGATTGTCATTGTCTAGCGCTTTGAAAATTGTATAATTTCGACCAATCAGATTAGCCATGGTAATTAAGAAATGTAATTTTTGTGTTTATAGTCGGACAGTAATTATCAAGTACGGAAGACCAACCAGAATACAATTTAGTTGCATTATTTGAGTTCAGCATTGTTCTCCGCTGTTAAGCCCCTTACTTTTGCGAAACAGGTATGGAGAAGTTAATTTGAGTTTTCAATTTCAACTGAGAAGGGTACCTACAGGTAACAGTATCATCTTATGAAATATAACTACTGCTAAACTTTAATTTATATGATCTTATTTTTTTATATTAATCTCAGTTATGACATTTTTCCATAAATGAAATATCAAAATTAATAATAAAAATGAATGGAAATACAAATAACACAGTAAAATGTAATAAATGTACATAAAATTATAGTATTTTATGTACACTTCTGATAAAATTTCATAAGAAAGGTACCTAAATTAATTAGATACCTTTTTCTTATGAAATTTAATCTCTCTATTAACAGTCTTATTTTTTAATTTCTTTATATTTTCCATAAAGCATCGTAAACGTAAAAATGAAAGCTAAGTACAAAAAAAAAATAAAAATAAAAAATTAGAGCGCTGAAAGTTTTCCTTAAAAGTAACGAGGTAAATGATTTGTTCACTTAAATAATTTCACTTTCTTCCATCCGTAGAAAGAATTATCCTCCCATAGGTTATCTAAACGTCATGAATGTGCCTTTCGTCAATCGTCAAGCGATGCGAAAGGTTATGACTTGCTTTGTTTTATTTTCAAATTACATTTTTTCGGCGCAGAAGCTAAGTTAAGCTTGGTTCAAAATATTTTAAATAAACAGTATAATTTCCGTTTTTATTAAAATCAGTTTTGAAAAAATGATAATTGATTTTTAAAAGAATATCAAAGTCAGATTTTAATCTTTTTTATCAAATCGAAAAAAATGATTGAAAATGATTGATTATCTGACCTTTTTTTTGACCAAAAAAAAAACAATATTTTTAACGAAAATTTCAGACGTGCTAGGAACGATTAAAAAATGTAAAAAAATACCCCCAAAATACTTTGATCTTTCCTCTTTAATAATAATATGAACATTACACGATAAAGTTTTGTTTTTGTCAAGTTCGGCTTTTTTGCCATCATGCTATGCTCTTTTGTTTACATTTTCGTGGGTGAGTTGTCCCCCTTTCATTCTCACGATGTGTCTTAATCGTGTTTTCACATTGATTTTTTTAAAAAACAATTTTGTTTTTTCCCATTTTCGGCGCCGTTAAAACCATCACAAGGTAATTTTATGTAGTCCTGTGAAATTTTGTTGAAATCGGCTAAAAATGTAGGAAATTCGATCCAATATATAAACGTTACACACACACACACACACACACAC